GAGAAGAGATCTGGGCTGAAAAGATGGGAGGGAAATAAAGAGATCTGGGGAATGAAGTCTAGAGGAAAGAAAAAGCCTGAGGGTGAAGGAAAGACAATACCAAGACTCTGGAGCCACGTGACAGAGTATTATGATTGAGGGTGAGGGTCGAGGAGCTTGGGGGCCTGCGAAACTCAGAAAGTCTTCAGGATGGTGGCTACGGGGACAGAGACAGAGAGGAGCAGTGGGCTGAATCTGGGAGAGACCAGGCACAGTGAGTTTGGGCAATAGTCCTTAGAATAGATGAATCCAAGTGCAGATGAGAACGGGTAGGAAAATGGCCAAGAAATTGAGCCTTGCAGGGCATAGGGACTGGGTGGGAAAGGATTAGGGAATGTCAACTGCAGAATGTGGGAAGAAGTGAAATGAACATGACTGAGGAGTGGTGTGGGCAGAGGGGGAAGGGACATTTTAAATCAGGAAATGACTAAGGTTGATGTACCCTGAGGAAGAAGGAGAAATTGATGGAGATGATGAGAAGAAACTGTAAGAAAACACAACGGGGGAGTTAGTACTGAACACACAAGAAGGGGATGGCTTGGGGTTAGCAACGGAGGCATAGAGACACTGGATTTTACTTTATTAAATTAAAAAAAACTTTTTTTAACACCTTTATTGGAGTATAACTGCTTTACAGTGGTGTGTTAGTTTCTGCTGTATAGCAAAGTGAATCAGCCATACATATACATATATCCCCATATTTCCTCCCTCTTGCGTCTCCCTCCCACCCTCCCTATCCTCTAGGTGGTCACAAAACACCGAGCTGATCTCCCTGTCCTATGTGGCTGCTTCCCACTAGCTATCTATTTTACATTTGGTAGAGTATATATGTTCATACTACTCTCCCACTTCGTCCCAGCTTACCCTTCCCCCTCCCTGTGTCCTCAAGTCCATTCTCTATGTCTACGAGACCCTGGATTTTAAAAAGAAGAAAAGGCGTTGAACTAGAGAGGAAATACCAGAAATTAATTCATTTTGGGGGGAACATTTTCCAGCAAATTCCCAGAAAGATCTGGTGGGACATATCGACTCACTTCCTCTTCTTTTGTTAGACACTGCTAGCTGCCTCATCTTTTTTGACCAGAGAATTCATATCCTCGGAGACATGCCCTCTTGAACTTTGTAGACAGTTTCCTAGAGAAGGTTGAGAAAGATGGGAGATAGAGGCAACCAGGAAAGGGATATTCTATCTCCAGATTCTTTGGCATTATTTAGACTCCCGTAGGAGGTTGACCCTGTGTGGACTCCATTGTGACCTTGACTAGTCATTGGAATTCCAGCCCATTGTCAAGATAGGTTGGTTCTAGGTCTACCTTTGGGGAAGCTTGAGAGGGCTGGGTAACCCAATGGGACTGGGCTAGACCTGGAATGGTTTCTGAAAGTTGGATGCGATGATTAAAGCAAAATTTGCTCAGTATTTGTCCTCCTTTGGCTTGATCTCAGGCTCAATTATTATCTGGATTAACTCACTTCTTTCTGCTTTGATAACAGGAAAAAGATGAGGATGGAACAAGCAATCTTGTCAAGCTCCTTGACTGAAGAAGGAAGGAAATAGAAGGCTTTAGGAACATAAATGCTTTATTGTCATGGGTTAGAAAAATGCATGAGAGGAATAGACAAATGACATGGAGCAAGGCCCCAAAAGGATGCAGTATCTGGAAAAGAACTCAAGGCCTTTTGCCAGCCTTATGGATATGTCCCTGCTGCCCTTCTTTAAGGGGTAGGGAGTTAGGAGCTGAGCATCTGTTACTTCTGCAGAATGGGCCTAGCCCCACAGGCCTGACCTTGCAAAACACGTTTCTCAACCTCTCTGGGAGGTGCTGACAGGAGGAATGAGGTGGGCTGACTTGTAGGGGTGAAAAAGTAAGAGGGAGCTTTTAGTCATTAGGGACACTAGAAAATGGTATATGGAAACCACTTCTGGAGGATGTGTCCACATATGTGAATGAATAAGGTTTGGAACATTGTGGGGACTGAAAGATGAACGTATGGTGTTTAAAGGCTGTGCTATCCAAATGACTATTACACTGTCTTACTCCATCTAATATCTCTTCGTATTCAAAACATGGACTAGTTGGTATAAGTACCTTTAGGGAAGCTGTCAGCAGGACCACAGTAGGATATGGGATTTAATTGTATTTGTTTCCGGGCCAATGGGAGAATTTATTTTGGCATTTATCATATGTATCCCAGCAACACTTTGTGAATGAAATAATGTATGAGCATCACCAGTGTGTCTGTGGGGTCAAAGGGTGGTATTCAGTTAGAAGCATGAGTAATGCTTGAGTCACAGATCTTTGGAGAATTCAATCAGTACCAAATTTCTTTTGGAAGGAGAATGTACTCATCTTCTTAAGGGTTTACATAAACACAAATGACATACCTAGTTTAAAAGAAGAAAAAAGATGTACTCTCTTTAATCGTTTTGAATGGCTTAACCTTATCTTTCCTGACCCTTTAAAAACTATCACTTTCTTTGATTGTTTCCCTTCTTATTTTTAAGTTAAAAACCTAGTTGAGAGACAGTATTCACACTTATCAAGAAGCTTTATCTGATTTATGGATGTAAAGTGAAATAACAGATGTCAGAGGGACATTCCTTATTTGATAAAAATCCTTGGACAAAGTGCAAGGGTATTTTTATTGATATGGATTGTAAGTATAAGGGGTCCTGGAAAGACTCTTGTTGAGGAGGGGTGGGTTTTTTGCTAGAATGGAGAAATTGCTGTGGGGGGTGAAGGAAAAATAAAGGAAGGGTATTTGAGAGGAAGGAGGCAATCCAGGCAAGATAGTCAAGAATTATAACTCATGGGACAGAGGAAGGAAGGGGACAACGGCGTGTACCATGAAGTCTCAGATCATCTTTCTCAACAGCATTTTTTTATTGCCCTCAGTTTATAAGGAGGATATGGAAGATAGAGAAGATAAGTCATTTTCCCAGGGTTTTGAAGCAAGTAAGCTGCACAGCTTGCTACTGAAGCTGGATCTTTCTGTTTCCAGAGTTACGGTCTTGGTGTGAACTTGGAAAATTGACACCTTATTTGGTGGGTAATAAGACTGATTCCATCTTTTCCTGTAAGTCTTTCAGAGTAGTTCCTAGGTTAGAATTTGCCTACAGGATCCTTGAGGGTGGGACCATGTCATTATTATTTCTCATCATTGTATCCCCAGCCCCAACTGAGAACATTACGAACAGCGAATGAAGGTCCTGGAGGGAGTTGGAGAGCTGGGGCTCTTCATTCAGGTTGTGGAGAACACATGATCTCTTAGGGTAGTGAAGCTTTGGGCAGAACTTGGGACTGATAGATTTCTTGGGTATAGGGCTATATCATTATGAAGAGCAAAGGATGTGTGTCGTGTCTCAGAGAACATGGACAGAGCCTGGTGCAAAGTACCCTGAGAACCTAGGCTTTCCTATTCCTTGTGCCCAAGGGGTTCATGGCTGGCCTAAGGGTTGAGCTTCCCTTTACAGGCACACGGATCTCCTGGTGAATTCCTTGACTAGCACCTTGCTACTAGCCACTCAAAGTAATACAGTCTCTGGCCAGCATGGAGTTCTATGTGTCAGGTTCTAGGAGTTGTCTAGGGTAAATGTATTAAGAACGGCCTATAATGAGCCTCCTTGCTTTAGGTTTGTAATATGCATAATCTGTTTCACTTTTCTGAGCTCCTATCTCTAGGTCCTAGACGGAAGGCAGGCTTGATTGGAGTGGCTGTTTTTCCCCAGGTGTTAAGAGTCTTCCCCTTGCATCCCAGCCTGACTGAATCACCTTGGTCCATTCTCTCCCAGATCCCATCGTTGGGGCTATAGGAACAGGTAGGGAAGTGTGAGATATTGCACTAGGATGTAGTCTGAGAGTTAGAAGAGCCCTTAAAGATTCCTCTAATTGAAGCCATTCATATTGTCATATTGTTCTTCACTTGGCCATCACCTAGATCTGGAGTTATAATCGGAGTCAGTTGGCAGTGCCCAGAGCCGTGGGCCCTAAGAAGAACACACTGAGGGAGCACGAGGGGAATCTGAGCCAGTGCTTTGCTCTTATCGCAACCTTTTGAGTGGGAGTACGGTCCTGAACACTGAATCAAAGTCTTTAGATCAATGCATTGTCCCCTGATGTATCTGGGAATCAAATAAGATAAAATGAGCTGAAGGTGAGGTAAGAAGGGCTTAGATTAGACTTTCAGAAGGACTGGCATAGTGGAAACAGTGATTATGGCATTATCTTCTCTAGGAAGCTTTTAAAAATGGGAACTGTGTTATTGGGTCTGGGCTGGGTATGGAGGTCTTTATGTATGGTTGTGGAGAGATGGTCGGTTTGATTGTCCTGGGACACCTCTAGCAAGCCCAGACAGCTGAGAAATCCTCATTCTTTAAATGAGACAGTCCTGGGAGGAAAGAAAGGCAGACTTGGAGCTGGGGAAGGTGGGGGAAGGGAAGCAGGTATTCGTGGAGGGCTGCTTGAAGACCATCTGTATTTCATTACAGAGCTGCCACTCTCACCCTCTTCCCTGTGTGTGCCCTCCCTCCCCCCCCTCTCACTTTCTCTCACACACACATACACACACATTCACTGCTGCTCGACTCCACTCCCATCCTTAATTCTAGTGAAGATGCTAAAGGAACATCATATCAGACTCCCGTTACCTCTTCCCCAGACTCGACAGATACAGCTCTCAAAGCTGAGAACTGGACCAGCCTCCTGGAGCCCAGCTTCCCTGCTCGCCGCTGCTGCCGTTCACACTGTTTCTTTACGGAGGCAGCTCCTTTGTCTCAGGGATCGAGGGTTTTCCTGAATCTCCCAGCTTTGTCCAGCCCCTGTCTGAGAATAGCTGGAATGGGATGAAACCACAGCGAGGGAGAGGGGTGGAGGTAGAGAAGGCTTCGGTTTTCTCCGCTGGGCTGGGTGTGCTCTGCTTAATTAGCATGAGAATAGAAAGGCATTCTCCCTATCCTCCCTTAGGGATGGAGAGGAAAGAAGAGCAAAGGCTGTAGCTCTGTCCTACTCCATCAGAGATTCTGGGACTGGGAGAATGACCACCTTCACATTTCTCCAATCCTCTGAGGACCCCAGGACCCACGGTATTGAGAAAAGCTTTGATGGAGCCGGCTGGTAGATCTCCACTCCAGATTTTCCAGCTGTCCCTGTCCCCCCACCGCTCAGAGAGCAGGATGCTGAGATGGCTCGGTGATGCAGAAGGTATGTGCTTTTTCAGTTCTGGTGCTGATGCTGTGTGTGTGGTGAGGTCTCTGTGGCGCAATGGACGAGCGCGCTGGACTTCTAATCCAGAGGTTCCGGGTTCGAGTCCCGGCAGAGATGGTCACCTGGCAGGTGCCTCTTTTATTTTGTATGCTGTCATGCTAGGTCGGTAATTATATTTATTCCTTCCTGGGGGCTCTGGGAAGAGAAAGGAAACCCCTTTCCTTGGGAATCCTGGACCTCCCCTCTTTTTCTGTCTCCTCCCTCTTTGTTCTTTCTCTGTTCCTCCCTTACTAATTTTCATTGTCTAATGAAGGCTCAGATGTCTGCTGCATCTCCCTGCTCAGCCTGACTGACACAGCCTTTGAATCCTTTGCTTCATAGAAAAATCATCGGCACGGAGGGACGGAGACGCCTGGCTGTAGGTTTTGGGACCACTATGGTTCCGTCCCTTTACCTCCGAGAAAACAAAAAGGCAGATCGTCCCATATGCTGATGAGGAAAGGTCCAGTTGTGCTCCAAGGTGACAACCACCTTGACCAAGGTGGGTCAGGAGATGGCTGGGGTCACGCAGAGGAGGATTTCTTGTGCTGTCTTTGCTGGCTATACTTTTGTATTCCAAAGGGTGGGCTTTTTGTGCTAATGTGCATCACTCACTTCCTCAACTACAAGGTGAGATGTAATCATTGCTCTTTGTCTCAGTGGAATAAACTACACAACAGCATGCTAATTACCAGCAGCAGACAAACTTGTACAAGAAAGTCAAGGTCTTAAATGCTCTTTACCGTGAAAAGTTTGCAGCCTTTCCTGATTGCAGGACAAAGTTGGAAGTTTGTATCTGAATGTTATTTTCATAATTCCTGGTTTCCAACAGGCCTTTTTCTCACCACCTCTCTCACCCTGCATCCACTTCTGCTCTCTTTCCCTATCTCATCTAATGGGCCATATTCAGCAAGATTGGGAGCTCGGTCAGATTGGTTTTCTACTTTGGGCTGGTCCGGCTCTCTCCCTTTCATATTGCAGCCTCTAGTCTATTAGCTAGAGGGAGCCACCCAAGCCAGGAACTGACCTCTACCTCAGGTGAACTCAGGAAACCTGAGAAGACACACCTCTCCTCCTGACTGCTGGGGAGTCAGCATCTCTCCCACACGGGACTCTGGACAGGCGACCAGAGGACACAGCCAGCCGTGCACTCCTGCTCTAAGGAAGCTGGGGCGGGCTGAGAGAGGAGAATCCAAACCATGCCAAGAGGTGGGGAATTGATAGGGCAGACAGGAGGACACTGGAAGGAGACTGATGCTTTTTAAGCCTTTAGGACACACGCATGTTTGTAGCAAGTTGAAACTCCTGAAATTCTTTTGAAGTAGTCTGGTACTTTAAAGGGACTTAGGATTCTTGCAGTAAGAACCAACACAGCTTTACCTTCCTGAGTTACTTTGGTAGAACACCAATTCAAATATTAACTCTTTCCTACCAGCCCCATGGATATGCCCTTTGGAGGATACTGGTGTGGACCTGAAATCCCTGGGCAGCCCTTCTGGAGCCCATTTTTAGCTCCGTTTAATCTAGATATTTTTGCTTAAAGGTCAGGCCTGAAAGGAAATTGGTCTGTGTGTCTGGATGGGGGTGCGTGGCGGGAGGGCATGTAGGGAGGAGGTTTAGAGAAGGGGCATATCAGAGTTTTCCGCCTTAATTCCGAATACTACCTACATCTTTCTAGCCCCCCCCCCCGCCCCTGCATCATTCTATTAAAATTGTGCTGCTCAACAGTAACAGTTTTGAAAAGTAAGAGGGTTGTTCCTCTGTCACTGTTAAAGTTTGGCGTAAGAGTACAGGTTCATCATGGCCTACTCTAAGGTTTTCTCAATTCTAGAAGCTTTCTAGGAATGTAGTTTTTATGAAATTGTGGGAACTGGGAGGGAATGTGTGCCCAAGTAGGCAGTAAATTGAGATTTGTTCAAGAGTTTGATCAGGGTGGAATGTAGCCTGCTCCTTACGTGAAGTTCTATACCAGTGAGAATTAAACCCCACAGATAATCCCCCAAACTTATTTTAGCCAATGATTTCCATTTTCTAACTTAGAACCAGAAGACCTTGGTTTAAGTTGCAGCTTTACCAAGTTTCTAAACCTCTCTGAACTTTAATTTGCTAATTTATAAAAACAAAATGGTACTATCTATCCTCCAAACGTAAAAATGAATGAGAAAATCCATTGTACAGCTCCGTACAAGTATATAGGCTCTGTTAGTTTTGGGGTTGCTTTTGTCTCTCTCCTCAGCATGTGGGAAAGATGCCTGGCCAGAGAGTAGGGAAATGAAAGGGACGGAATGATCGTCTCCTGCCTGGAACCTCCACTGTGGCTGTATGCCATCAACTGGGGCTGATGCTGACTTGTGCCACCCTAACAAAGAGGCTGGAATGGACTTTCTAGCTAGTGGAGTTCTTCAGAGGGCAGATGGTCCCTCTGTGCCTTACATGGGTAGTTTCATCTCAGCCAGGTAGGTAGAGGCCCCTGCCGCTACACCACTGAAGGGAAATAAAAGCTTCCACTTATTCAAACATCATCAGCCTTTAGCTCCCTCAGCCTCTGAGGGCTGATGTTTTGGGGACTCGAAAAGGACATCCAGCACTGGCAGCAAGATTTTCCACATTGGTAAAAATTCCTTTATATGTGATAACAACTTTTTTCTTAACACATGAGAGATAACTTCTAATTTATGAATATCATAATTGTTGTATTTTAAAGATGCTCAGAATATAAAAGAGAAATGGGTGTTTTTTTTTTTAATAGGCTCATTTCACTGTAGGGCTCAAGTGCTTCACAGGTGCTGAAAATGATCATTAATTACAAAGTATGCAGGCAGGCTATGTCTTATTTATTCGCACTGCCTGAAATATGGTCGGCATTTGATGGATATATTTGAAAGAATGAATGCTGACTTAGACTGGTTATAAATTATGTAGATAGGAAAGAGAAAGAGCCGTAGCTCCTAGGGATCAGGAACACAGGCGATATCTTCATGCATTAATTCATTCACTTTACAAATATTTATCAAGTGCCCACTTTATGCCATTTTCCATGTTGCAGGCACTGGGATCCGAAATAGCATTGCCCACTTCCCTCATGGAATGCATATTCCCATGGGCCAGATAAAGAATAGATAGGTAAATAATATTATGATAGAATTGTAGGTAGGGATACCTGCTGGAGGAACTAATGATTAAAGATAGAGTGATGTGAAGTGTGGTGGTCGCAGAAGACTTTCCCAGGAGGTGGCATTTGAGTGAAGAGTGAATGAAGCAAGAGAGCTCAATGAGATGCAGAAGACGGGTGTTCCAAGCAGAGAAACAGCAAGAGCAGAGAATCTGAGTTGGGCGTGAGCTTGATGGCTTTGAGGGAAAGCACAAAGGTCAGTGTGGTTGGAGGGGAGGGAGTGATGAAGAGTAAAGTTCAGAGATAAATATGGAGCATGTCATATAGGATAATGTACTCAACCCTATCAGTAAACTCTGGCCAACTCTGCCTTGTATAATAAGTCCAGTGTCTCCTCACTTTTCCTTTACTCTCTTGCAGTGAAATTTATAGGTTATATAACTTCCTACACACATAATTAAAACAAATCAATAAAATATCCTCTTTGTAATATAAGGAAATAAACTTGTCATAAATGCTGTGTATTTTAATACATAAATGCCACACTAGCAGTCATACCTATATGAAGAATCACCTCCAGTGCAACAGCTATAGATGTTATATATGCCCCCAAAAAATGCAGGTATGTTTTAAATATCACAAGGAATGTCAGTCACAAGCAGTGTTGGGATTTTCCAAGCTGGTGCACACTTGATAAATTTATGATCAAAACAAATTAAATCTTCTTATAAAGTATGCAGCATTTTGCATTCCTGAATATTTTAGGAAGTTTTAAACCATGCAGAAACTGTAGTTATATGGAAAAGTAAGATAGACCCTAGGTCCAGACACCAACAACTAGCCTTTCAGTAGGTCATTCAAAAGAAGTGCACAACATAGGGCAAAGTCTTCCTTGTGTGAGGTGCATCTACACATTGCAGGACACACAAATCCCAGGTAATCTTCCTCTCTGCGGCTAGTAGTGGTCCCCAGTCATTACAAAAACAAAAAAATACTCCACTAAATTTTCAAACCACTACCTCTGGGCAATTGCAGACCAACTGGCAAGTGCTGACATAAGGCTTGTAGGTCAAACTTTCCTTCATACTAATGAAAATCATTGGTGGGTTTGAGCATAGAAGTGGTGGAATCTGATTTAGATGTTAAAAGGATAATTTTGGCTGTTGGTAAGGAATAGACTGGATTGAGGGGAGGGGAATGTTTGCAGGTCTGCTGGACCCAACACCTTTTAGAAGCAGCGGGGCGTGACACTGTGGTTCCCAAGTGGTGGAGCTAGTACCACCAGAAGTGGAGGGTTTTATAACAATGCCCACCTACAAAAGTGATTTGTCATCTCTGGAGAGCTAGCCTGGCATGGATCATTTATATTTTGTCTAGGAACTAGTTACTTTTACTTATTGTCATTACAATGATTCCACTTACTAGCAAAAAAAATGTTCATTTTGTTTGTATTTAAGAGCCGTAGGAAATGGAACTTATTCTCCTAAACATGATTTCAGTGTTTATGTCTTTTGCAGTTTCTATAAATTATAATGGAACAGAATGTCTTTAAACTTCTCCGTGTCTTCCTTGGAAGATATATCTTTTTGCTTCTGTAAGGGTAATGTTTTCCTGTGGTGGTTCCATTGAGAGAATGGACAGCAGGTGAGACACAGAGTCATATGATAGGAGAAGCTGGAAACAGGAGTGTAATGGAGGAAGAAACTGCATGGGGATGACACGGACCTAGGTCTGCATCAGAGGGCTTGCTCTTTACTTGCATAACTTTGGGCATGCACTAGGTTTCTTGAGCCTTGGTTTTCTCATCTAGAAAATGAGCCAAATAATATCTCGAATTAAATAAGGTAAAATGGAAAAGTGTCTAGATAGGTAGATACATAGTAGGTGTAAAAACAAACACTGGCTTCCTTTGTTTACAGACAGTGTGTCCAACCAGACTTCTTCAGACTGCATGCCTCACGCTATTTTCTTGGAGATCCTGTGTGAGGCTCTGGGGGACTTAGCCGTGGACCACATGTTTCTCCACCTTGAAAATGCTTGGGAAGTAAGAAGTGTACAATGTATCTTCTATAGTAGTTACCCTCAAGAGGACTCTCTCCCTGTGGTCCCTGTGGGAGCCCTGGATTTCTCTCTAGGGCTCTGAGCATCGAAACCTTGCAGCGATCCTTAGTCCAGCCCTGGGGACAAGGTTTCACAGGCCCCATGGAGAGGGTCACGTGAAGCCTTTTCTGCTAGGAGCAATGCAGGGCTTTAAAGCTAGGTATGAGGGCAAGTATGTCTATACAGGGAAGGTGGGCTGAGACTAAAGACAAATTCCTGGGGAGCTGGGAGGAGATAGTATACCAGAGATTGGCTGCTGTGTTCCTGACCAGGGCACTTTCTGGGAGTGT